AGAAGAACACACTCGCGCCAACATCGCCAATTCCAACTTGACACGACAAGAACAAGGATTTTCTTGCTAAAATGCCATATCGAACCAATCTAAGTCCAGACCAGCAATTCAAAGAGAACATATCTAACAAGAAGGCAACGATGAAAGTGTGTCACCGTTGGGTCCAACCTGTAAAGGTCATAGCACAAACTTTCACCTCGGACGTGTACTGTTGTTCCATGTAGGAGGAGAAGTGACCCTGTTGCCTACATCCGCCAAGTGGGCTTTGCTCATCGGTATCTTCTAATGGAACGAACAAATCTGGGTGGAGGAGGAGGCGGCAGTGGCGGCGGCTAGGGTTTCTTATAACTATACAGCTGACAACGGGCCATGAGCTGACACGTTCACCCACTACAGGTCACATGTTCCGCAATAATTAAGTTCCGGTAAGAACATCTTCCCGTCGGAGAAGGCCAATTTGGCTCCCAGGCTTAGCTGCACCAGCTCCGATGAAACAAATTAAAACAAATATTAAAAAATTCTAAAAGTTTCAAATTTTTTTTGTATGGTAGATAATTTGATTCGTGAGGTTCGCTGCAAATTTCAACTAGTTTGGACATTTGAGCATCTCACTGCAAAAAAGACAAAATCGGGGTCTGTAAAAAAGTTTATTGTTCACGAACTTATTTGACCCGATTTGTCTTTTTTGCCGAGAGCTACTTAGATATCCAAATGAGTTGAAATTTAGAGCGGACCTTACACATCAAATTATCTACCACAAAAAAAATTAGATCTTTTTTAATTTTTTTAGTATTTATTTTAAATTGTTTTCTAAGCGGAGCATCTGATGCGGATCTTTCCTTCCTGTCGTTAATAATGTACACAAGGAACTGCGGTGGCAGATCCAACGGATATACACGGACCACCACTCTGTTTTTGGAGCAAATTTACAAGTAATAAGTATATATGAATCAAGGTAACAAAAGAAAAACAGTGTTTTTGAAATTATTATTTCACAGGCGCGCAAAAATTGATCCTCACCCCAACATTCTGCCAGCAGAATGCAGGTAGTATACACTACTAGGATGTGTGTTTGATGCTTCAGCCGCAGTTGGCGAGCCGCACGATGAGGTCGCGGAAGTACTTGGCGACGGCGGCCTTGTGCCACCGGAGCCGCTTCCACTTGCCGCCGAGCAGCACCGGGTGCAGCCCCAGGATGTGCTCCGGCATGAAGTCGTGCCTCGTCAGGATCCCCACCACCGGCGACCTCTGCATGCAAGCAATTATTTGTTTCATCATCAATTACTCCGACGGCACAATGAGCAAATTCCATGGCTGCTGCGTGAGGAAATGAAGAGCACTTACATCGCAGGCCTTGGGCACGACGAGGAGGTGGCGGAGGCCGACCTCGCGGAAGAGGATGAGCGCCTTGGCCAGCGACATGGTCTCCACGACGGTGTATGGCGACGCGTTGGTGAACGGGTGCAGGTCCACGTACATCTCCATCTCCTCCGGCGACAGCTCCACGCCGTCCACCGTGTCCTGCTTGCCGGAGCCGCGCTTGTCGAAGTCCTGCGCCTCGAACCTCGCCGCGATGCTGTACTCCTTGGGGTACCGCTCCTGCGCCGGCAGGAACTCCCGCTTCCGGAGGAGCACGAGCAGGTGCGCCCTGAGCACGAGGCCGTAGAGCACCGGCGCGGTGGCGAAGGGCGGCTCGTCGATCACCGGGAACGCGTGGTGGCCCGTGGTGCGGAGGACGTGCATGATGTGGCCCACCTTCTCCACGCCGTTGAAGCTCCGCAGCGGGCCGACCACCACGTCGCCCACGCTGAGCTGCCGCATGTAGGGCTCGGCGTGGCCGTCGAGGTACGGCAGCCCCTTGAGGCGCACGATGAGGTCGTAGATGCTGGCGTTGAAGGAGTCGGCGACGGTCTTGGAGATGAGCAGCACGAGCATCACCAGCGGCAGGAGGAGCAGGTTGTTGGTGAGCTCCACGATGATGACGCACACGGACACCGTCATGCGGAGCGTGCCGCCGAGGAAGGACGCCGAGCCGAGGATGGCCACCAGGCCGTGGTCGAGGCCGGAGTGCCTGCCCAGCAGCATGGCCACCAGGCGGCCGTAGGTGGCGCCGGTGAGGATGATGGGGACGAAGAGCCCCGACGGCGCCACCACGCCGTAGCTGAGCACGCCCAGCGCGTAGGAGGCCACGAAGAAGGCGAGCATGGAGCCCCGGTGGTAGACGTCGTTGGTGCCGGTGGCGTAGAGGTTGCGGATGGCGTCGTCGTTGATGTTGAGCATCAGGCTGGCCAGGTCGTTGTAGTGGTCCGGCGGGCAGTGGAACCGCCGGAACTTGTTGAGGGAGCCGCAGGCGCCGTTGGGCCCCGCGACGGGGCAGGGCCGGCACGGCGCGAACCACGGCATGCCGAACAGGCAGCACGACGTGAGCACGGACACGGCCGCCGCCAGCAGCAGCTTGTGCGCGCGCCCGCGCTCGTTGACGACGCTGTAGACGCGGAGGACCTGCATCATGAGGAAGTTGTAGAAGGCGCCGAGGACGGCGCCGATGACGCCGATGAGGACGACGATGGGGATGTCCTTGAGGTGGTACGTCATGAGGTCCTCGAACAGCGTGCTCACGTCGTACATGATGAGCCCGCCCTTGCCGAACAGCCCGCACCGCCCCGACCCGCACAGCTCCACGAACAGCCTCAGCACCACGGCCACCACCGCCGTCGTGAAGAAGGAGCGCCAGATCAGCGCGCTCCGCCACCACGAGGAGAGGGACTCGAGAGCGAAGAGGACGCCGCCGACGGGTGCGCGGAACGCGGCGGAGACACCGGCGCCGGCGCCGATGGTGACGAGGTCGCGGCGGTCGCGGTCGTTCTTGAAGTAGCGTAGCCAGCGCCAGGTGAGGCCGTACCTGCGCGAGCCGCCCTGGCCGAAGATGGCAGCTATGCACGCGCCCGTGTGCACCATTGGCCCGGCCTTGCCGACGTGCAGCGACGATGACACGGCGGCTATGTTGCCGATGACCTGCACGCATGATACGATCGGAGTTCAGTTCAAGAGGTAAAAATCGTACATGCACGCACTTAGTTATTACTATTAGAAGCAAAAGGCGAAATTCGAAAAAAAAAATGTAATATTGTGGGAGCAGAGTTTTTTTTAGCGTAAAAAATAGTTTTTTTTTGTGCCAGAAAGAGCAGTGTTGTTTTCCGTTATTATTTTTGTGACTACTGTTGTTCTATGAAAGGTGGGTAATGGAATTTTTTGGACTCTCTGTACGCTCCAATTCAAAGTGTCAAACACAAATCGACAATCTTACATTGTGGGGATCAATTATATGTCAAATTCCATGACATATATCAACTAATCGCCACCAGTGGAATGGGTTAGAACGAGTGTATTTCTTCTTCTTGTTGGCCGTGACATATATGGGGATCAACTATATGTCAAGTTCCCCGCAAAAAAAAAAACACTATATGTCAAGTCGCGTAAACACCGATTGGGCATTGATCTATTCATCTTCTTACTTTAGTCAATAGCTTTTTCCCATTGCTCTCAATTCAAAACCGGCCAAATTGACTGTTGACGCCGGCGGTGCTCCCGTTCGGACATCGCCGCCTCATGTTGCGGTATCATCGCCCCGACCTTGCTTCTAAGCCCCCTTTCGAACCATTCTTCTCGGTATGGCAGCCCATCCCAAATCGTCGCCTCAAACTCCCCTTCATCGATGACGCATCTTCAGAGTCTTCCTCGCCTCCAGGTCGCTCCTGGCTCAGCCTCGCTGGCGCTCCCGCGCCTCGGTGTTGCTCGCTGCGATGCCCCCATCTCTGTCTTCGAGCTCTTCTCCTCTCATTTTTTCTTGAATCAAAATTGATTGTGTGTGCTATATAATAATAATAATAATAATAATAATAATAATAATAATAATAATAATAATAATAATAATAAGATTTGCACTGAAATGTCCAATTAGGTGGTCGGGGTGACTAACAAGTGTACTACTCCGACTGCTCCACTAAAGGGGACCCTGGG